AATTCTTCGGAATTCCCGAAGACTTTCCGGTAATGCAATGCGGAAGTGAATAATCGATGTCGAAGTACGATCTGTTGGGATTGATTTCAGCGAATAAACGACATGGTTTTCCGAAAAACTAGTAACTAGCCATTTTTGAGAGGTAAACTGAATATGGCATGAAATATTTATCGCATTTTACTTGTATTAACAGGTCATTGTCGAAGCGTAGTTTACGCACGGTTACCGTGTTCTACGCATTCACATGTTCACAGCGATCGATATCCACGCTGTATCATATAAAAACGATTACCAAGATTCGTTACGCAAGACCAAGTTTTAAATTAGTTGCAAAATGAAGTGGTGGGCGCTTTGCCGAATGTGACCCCAAATATAAAAAATGCACAAAAGTGGGGGGTGGGCGCTTGCCCGGGCATGGGCGCTAACGCGGTCGAGTACAGTAAAAGACAACTTCTTGCATGTTTTCGGTAACTAAATAAACTTTTATTGATAGTGAATTTGTCCCATAAAAAAGTACCAGGATTTAGGAGTCATGCATAGCACCAATCAGGATTATTTTCGTTCAACTCGCATAGACAAATTCAAATCTTCCAGGTGATAACTATTCTTAATATTGAGATGGCACACAAGTCAAAATAGATGTATTCCAAAATCATGATACCAATACTCCATTCCACTGTCATGAGTGGCTTAGATATTAATTACTCTGCTTAACTTCTGTACTCGATTTAATAGCAAGTCTCCTTTCTTTATGGTCTCCTATAAAAAAAAGAACACAAGACAATTTTTAGATGACAATAGGTTATCTGAAAATAACTTTGAATTCATCAACCGCCTTACTATACATGCAAAACAACTTGAGAACCAAAAATCTTTGCATTAACACATAGAAATGTGATACACACATCTACATGGATAATATAAAATAAGCAGATTTGATTTGGAAATGAACTTGAACTCACCTGATATTGCCAGTTTTTACTATCTGGTCGATTGGTTTCTACAATGCCCCCCACCTTGTCTATCTTACAGTGAAGACGACCAGCAGCAATGAAGCGAGATAATTCCCTGCGAGAGAAAATCACGAGTTATTACAAGTGGCTGATTCTTCATTTAAGGAATCGTAAGTTTTGAAAATCTATGGGGAATAGTTCATTGTATTTTTAAGTGTTGTGTTGTTTGTAAACAATGTTTATGACAGAATGTACAATAAATAATAGATCACTTGACATTTCCAATCATCCTAACTTACAACTATGTGTAGCTCATAGAAACACTAATGTTAACCCAATTTTAAGAGGCAGACAAGCTACTCAATACAGAAAATTTACTAACTCAAATGGTGAGTCTCGCTTTGTCATAGTTCAGGATTTTTGTGTATGATGTTTGTCAAGACCAAAGAGAAAACAAAAGAACAATAATTAAATACAGTATATAATTATACACAATTCTGACAAGTGTTCCTTTAAAACTATTAAAAGAGTTTATTTTAGTTAAAGAGATGATGAAAGGAGAT